CAGTGCCCCCTGAAGAATAGTTTTTCTCCCCTCCCCTTTTTGATCTTGAAAATGCCTCAAACAGCTTAGCCCAAAACTTTCTAGGAAGGGAAGAAAAATAGCCTGAGGAGAGCATTAATTTTGCAGAGTTTTTATTAGCCAGTGAAAAGGAGCAGTTGAAAACCTTTGCTACTGGATTTGGTACCTTGTTGCTGCAGTACAGAATGGCAGTAGTTCTCTACCTTGGGCTTCTATACAAGATTTGTACTTAAATATTCCTAAGCCAAAGAGTACAACCAGGAATATACTTTCTTCTGAAGATAATCTGTCACAGGTAGAGCATGTGAGGAGCCTCAGCTACCTGCTGGTAGTTTAAGTTCCTAGTTTTGCATGTGTCAAAACCAGGTTGGTACTTCCTGTTGTTTGTTTCCAGGATGTTTTGTCAGCATCCCCTTTGGTGTGCTCCTTTTATGTCCCCTTGGGGTTGCCCCAAAGCCAGACTTCTCACCATTGTGTTTCTCTCTCCTGAAGGAATTTGACTTGGATGTGGTGGCTGTGGTGAATGACACAGTAGGCACAATGATGACTTGTGCTTATGAAGACCCCAACTGTGAAATTGGGCTCATTGTGGGTATGTGTTAGCTGCTTTTTATGGAACAGCGTGTCAGCACATCTGTCTGTATTTTCATGGAGATATCCCTGTGGCTAACTGACAATAAAGCCAGGATGGCCAGGAGTGAAAGAGAGCAAAATTCAACAGCCAGCCTAGTTCTGCCCACAGTCAGTTGAGATAAGCAGAGGCTGAGATGCTAAACAAATTCTGCCTGGTTTGTCTGGGGAAGGCATTGTGCTACTTGGGGAGAGAGCAAACGTGGGTTCAGGTAGCCTCACCAGCTCCTGGAGTTTGTTAGGGTAACCTGTGAGAGTTTCCCTGCCTGGGTGTTCCAGGAACCCCCAGCTTTCCTCGATCATGTGGCCTTTCAGAATAAACTTGCAGAGCACAGCCACAATTCCCAAATGACATGACAGAGAGCTCCGACAAAGTGTCAGCTCCTTCCCAGCAGTGAGACAACTGAAATAGTTCCGCGGGCGACTGCTGGTGCCTTTCCACGTGCCATGCCTGGGGAGCCAGAGAAACGGGTTTGCCTTTGGAAAGAAGGGGATGTGGCACCTGCGAGCTTAAAGAACGCTTTCAGTGGCGAGGTGGCTTGTAGGAAAATAAAACGCCACCAATTTCTCCTCCAGACAGCTGGAAAATGGCCAGGATGAGTCAGCACAGTGCAGCACGGGTAGGAAGCCGTGTCTGCGCAGCTCCGTCGGTGGCGTTTTCAGGAACCAGAGTTCCCTGTGGGAAGGACAGTGTGTCCTTGGGGTGGTGAGAGTATCCTCTGAGCACCATCCGCTGCAGCCCTGCCAGATACGCTCTGCAGCCGGCGAGTGTGCACAGAGCAGGGGCTCAGAGGTGGCCTGGGGTAATGGGGCAGAATTAGGCACTGCTCAGCCTGGGTTGTCTGGGCCAGGCTGATGGCACCTGCTGAGGGAAGTTAGGGACTGGTGATGGCCACAGCTGGGTTTGGTCCTGCCAAGCTGGGTGTTGGTCTGGAAGCCCAGACTCCCTGCCTCCAGCCCTGTGCTGTGGCTCAGCTCTCCTGCAGCAGGGGACTACTGTGGGAGGATCTATTTCAGCTCAGACTGTAATGATATAATTCCCTAAAAAATGGCACCTGAAAGCAGACTTGCTGATAAAATTGCTGCAAAATTCATGATGCATGGTTAAATAAGAGACTGGTAGGCAACTTTGAGAAAACTTTTGCCCTGGTAGCAGCAGAAGCTGCCTCTCTTTGCTATTAAACCTTTGCTGCCTAAGACCTCTGTCTCTATGAAGCACTTTGCCACACTTCTTAGGATGCCCTTTAAGCTGAATCAGATATGGTATCACTTCAACATGAAAATAACCCTCCTGCCAGAGAAACTAAGCTATTTAAATCAGACAAAAACACCCAAGCAATCGGCTGGTGGAGCCTCTGATGCCTCTGAGGTATTCAGTTCAAGCAGTCTCTCCCTGGATTCTGTGCATCCGTGGGTGAAGGTGGTTCCTGACTGCAAGATCCAGCTGGCTGCTTGCTGTGGCTTTGGCTGCAGAAGCACACGAGGGTTGGTGTGCCAGAGTGCTGCCCTGCTGCTCCTCCCTGCAGCACAGGACCCTCGGCCCAACTGGCCTCGTGAGCCTCTTGTCTGAGCCACTCTCTGCCATGCACCGTGGCAGGAATGTGCCTCAGTTTAGGATTAGTGACAAGTGAGTGTTGTTCTGATGTTTCAAATGGTGACTTCATCATTCAGAAACAAGCACATTCAGGATCACTCAGGAGGGAGGATGTAGTGCTTGTTCTAAAGTTGTTTTCATCCAAACAAAGAGTAATTTCAGTGTTTTCTTCTTTCAGGAACAGGCAGCAATGCCTGCTACATGGAAGAGATGAGAAACATAGAGATGGTGGATGGTGAGCAAGGACGGATGTGTGTGAACACAGAGTGGGGAGCTTTTGGGGATAATGGATGCCTGGATGACATCAGGACAATCTATGACAAAGCAGTTGATGACTATTCACTAAACGCTGGAAAGCAAAGGTACTGCAGGATGAATGGTGTGCTATGTATATAAGCCAGGCTGCCTTAAATGCTTTTAAGAGGGAATTGGATTTTTCCCAGTATGAGAAGGGAGAGGTTAAGAGTGGAAAATGACTGCAGCCCTACTCTCCTGTGAGATCTTCCCCTTCTGTGCTTTTCCTGGTGTCTGCTTTTTTGTGACCTATTTGCTGCCGTGGGACTTCAGCGAGGCTTTTGATGAGGACTTCAAAAGTCTTGAAGTTACAAGGAGACCCCTTTTCTAGACCTGTGTTGTACTGTCTTGTCAGTCTTTCACTCTTGGTCTCAGGTTAATCTCTTCTAGCTGAACTCTCTTTGTAGAGGGCTGTGCCGCTAGTCGTTAGAGCTTGGAGCTGCTTGCTGCAGAGCACTCAGGAGCTTTCTAGCAGTTGCAGCCAACTCTTACTTCAGGCAATTTTCTGGCTGAAATATGTCATACTAGAGGACCTTCCTTTCTTGGTCCTGGAGCTTGGTCCTCTTTTGGGGGTTCAATTCTTGTTTGGGTAAGTGCTTCCCTGTTCCCTTCAAGAAAGGGCTGACAACAATGTGTGCCCAGCACCGATAAAACTGGGCTGAGGATGTGGCATGCTAGGACTACAGTTTTTCATCATCTCCCTGCAGCAATGCTTTGATGCCAGGAGCTTTTAAGACGATTTTGTGACTAGAGTAAATCTGCCTGAAAACCTGGGGGATGCAGACAAGTTGGCAGGTCCCATGGGAAACTTTTTAGAAGCTGGAGCTCAAACAGACCCAGAGAGGAAGACACTGAGTGAGCCTGATGCAGCAGCAGGGTTGCCATGGAGCCAAAGGCAGTAGTGGAGACTGCCAGGGGGAATAGTTTATTCCAGAGATAGTTAGGCACTCAAGAGGGAGGACACTTGCTGAGTACAAACCTGAGAGAGTTCATGGTATTAAATGGACTGTGTGGCCTGCTTCCAGCAGGATGGTGCACTGGGCTCCACTCAATCCAGGGCACAGACTCTGCTGTAGAGCTTCAGGGGGCAAAACAAAGGATGTGTCAATGAAGGCCCTTCTCAGGAAGTGGAAGTGCTCAGTTCTTACTGGTAAAGACACAACTCACAGATCCCAAAGTGCTCCATTCAGGCCAGAGTGATGCAGGAGGGGAAGGAACCCTGCAGGGGTGCTGAGCATCGCTCCCGGACCACTCCCTGTTCTGTGCCAGGAAGAGGTCTGCAGGTGGAAGATACTCTCTCTCTTGCCTGGGCACAAGACTGCAAGTGAAAAACTTGGGTCCTGTGTGCAAAGAGGGAGAGTGAGAGTTGGTTCCTCCCTGAGGTTTTGGGACCTATGGGTTTCCTGCTGGAAACTAGGTGCAGAATGAACCAAAGATCATAAACCAAGTCTGGACCCTCAGCTTATTAGTCTATAGATCAGTGATCCTGTGAACATGCTGAACATACCTTTTCCCATTTTTTATCTGTCACAGGGTTGGTTTTGCAGCACAGGACTCCTTTGAAAACACTGTGGTGACTGTACTTTGTGGTTTCCCTGTAATTTTGCTGCCTGGAACCACTGAGCTTTTTCTATTTGAAGGTCTCAGCTGTGCTTCAGGAAGGCTCCCAAATGTTGTTGCAAGTTTCCTTGGGGTCCACTCAGGACTGTCACTGGCAGATGTATGGATAATGTGGCTTTCATCTGGGCACTGTTCTGCTCTCTGATGACAGGATTCCATTTCTTCCAGCCAGGAGAAATACCAGCTGTCATTAACGTGCCTGGCTGGGGGACTGTAGTTATGAAGAGTAGATGAAGTGTTTGTAGGTGGGCTCACAAGGCTTCCCACCAAGCCTTCATGCTTTTTCTTGCCTAACTATTCTGCTAATGGCCATTCTGTGTTAACCAGGTTGTGTGTTTCATGTCCCCAACGTGTGTGGATAAGACACCTAGCTGCTAACACACTGTGATGCCTCCTTTGCAAACGTGAGCAGGTTCCCTCTGAGCTGCACTGCTGTCTTCCTTGCAGGTATGAGAAAATGATCAGCGGGATGTACCTGGGGGAAATAGTCCGCAATATTTTGATCGACTTCACCAAACGGGGGTTCCTGTTCCGAGGCCAGATTTCAGAGACACTGAAAACCAGACACATCTTCGAGACCAAGTTCCTTTCTCAGATCGAGAGGTAAGAACGCTGTGCAGGATGCTGCTTTGGGTGAACCAGTGTGGTAGTGCTTGCCTGATGGCACTGCTGGGGGGGGCAGCTGGAGAGCATTGTTTGCTTCTCCAGAGGTAGTTTTGGTTTCAGTAAGAGCCTGTGCACGTGCAGGAAGACTCTTTACAGCATCATCTGAGTTGCTAACAATGCTCACTGCTAAATCATGGGAAGGGCTGTCAGGGATTCCCTCACTGTATTACTTTATTTACTTGTTTGGAAATCAAGCCTTTTTCTTGGGTCCCTTGTGTGTGTCCAGCTATAATAGTGGAACTCCATGAACACTAGCTGAGTGAGCACTTTTTACTGGGTATTTTTGTGTCTTTATTGCTCAGACTCTGTATTTTCAAGTAATCTCTGAGTCTTTATGGTGGGGGGAAACAACCAAGTTTGTAATCTAAAATATTTTCCTGCAATTCGCCTTGGTAAGAAAAGAGAAGGAAAGACAACACAGAGCTGGACTTGGGACTTCTGTTGCTGCTTGCACCCCTCTCCAGCAGTGCACCATGGTGCTGAGGTGAATGAATTTGCACCTCTGAGATCTCCTGCACTGCCAGGAAAGGCCTGGTGTGGGTGCATGGATGTAGCTGTCAGTGCAGTGGGGTTTGTGGCACTGGCTTGACGGAGGAGAACCTTTAATTTAACACCGTGCTCTGCTTCTGCAGTGACAGGTTAGCCTTGCTGCAGGTGCGAGCCATCCTCCAGCAGCTGGGGCTCAACAGCACCTGTGATGACAGTATCATCGTCAAGACCGTCTGCGGAGCCGTGTCAAGGCGAGCAGCTCAGTTGTGTGGTGCTGGAATGGCTGCCATTGTAGATAAAATCAGGGAGAACAGAGGACTGGAGCGCCTGGAGATAACGGTTGGTGTGGATGGGACTCTGTACAAACTACATCCACAGTGAGTATTTGCCTTCTCAGTGTTTGTTTGCCTGTAGCACGTTGCTTGTATGTTCTTCCTCTTGACATGCCAAACTGGACTCTCTTACTTGCTAGGATAAGAGCCAGGGGGAAAAAGGTCTTATTCAGGGATGGTCAGGGCTTTCTGAAGGGCAACGAGAGGCTGAAGAAAGACTCATGACAGATTCCTGGGGTGGTGACAAAGTGAAGAGGATGCAGCTTGCCAAATGAGTTGGAAGCTGTGCAGCATGGGAAGGATCTCCTGGCTGTGCACAGGCAGTGACAGCAGTGCTGAAGTGCCTGGCACCCTCTGGAGGATGTTCAGTGTGCAGAGGAGATGGGCTGCTGTGGAGCAGTGGCAGGCAAGGGCAAGAGACTAAAAGAGCTGGGGGCAGGAGGAGAAGAGGACTAGTGCCACCTCTAGTGTACATGGAGAGGGATGGGTGGGAAGGAGGATTGTGTGTGATCTGTTCTCAGCCCTTTGCTGTGGTGCTAGAAATATGAGTTAACCCCATGCAGGCAGAGGCACCACTGGGATGCAAGTATTTTTTTCCTGCAGTTCCCATTGCTCCCAGGTTTCAAGTCTGAG